GGAAAGAGGCTTTGTGCACTGCCCTCACCTCCAGTAAAATCTCTCAGCTCCTATTGGAAACCAGCCAATGGGAGCCGAGTGATTTTTGTTGGGAGTGCAGGCAGACTTCTCAAGCTGTCCCTGCAGCACAGAGAGCCACATGGAATAGAGTGGTCTGGGACTGCTGGCTGGGAGCTGCTTAGGTAAATGCCTCCCAGCCAAAGCCGGCTTCTGGCACCCCACCTCCTTGTACACCCCAACTCTCTCCCAGACCCTGCACTCCCTCCTGCACTCCTCCCAAAGGCCAGAATCCTCTCCTGCTCCCAAACCTTCTCCTGAACTCTGCGCCCCAATCCCCTGCCCCAGATGACCACCTGAAATCTCTGCTACCTCCCTGCCCCCTCAGGTCACATTCCTTCCTAGACCCTGCACCCTTCCCAGACCAGAATTCTCTTTGGCATGCATACACTCTCCTGGACCCTGCTGTCCTCCTAGGAAATCCCTTGCCTCGGGTCACACCAATCCCTTGCCTCAGGTCACACCTCCCTCTCAGACCGCATGCCCTCTCCTGCACCCCAGTTCCCTGAGCTCTTTTCTGCACCAAACTCTGTCCCAGCCCCCACACCTACTCCATAGAAAAGTGTGACTCTTAACTACTTACCAAAATCTTGCAGTGGTCCTCCATCAAAAATTATTGCCCACCCCTGTTCTTGAGGGTAAACTGGTTTTGCTTGGAGCTTAAAACTTCAGATACTCCTTTCACAGGCTAGAAAATCCTATGAAATATCCTCCTTCCCCACCCCCCAGTTCAGTCTTTTATTTCTCAGATGATTTTCTTTTCAGCTGTTCTCTTTTTTTTGGTGGGGAGTCAGTGAAGAATGACCCATGATTATGTCATTCCCCTGCCTTAAATAGTGTTTGCCTGTGGTGGAAACCCATTTTCTTCTAATTGGATTCCGATGCCCAATCAGTGGGAAAACACCAGTATTACCATAGAGTTCAGTACCAGGTGACTTGGTCACATGTTTCTGTGGAGCCACTGCAGTCTGAGACAGTCTGTAACATCCTCAGGAAGTTGTCCTAGTGAGAGATTAGCATATTCTTTGACGTACTGTTCTTCTTAATAGCACTTTTCAGCCAGTCATCGACTGATCACATTTTATCTAGTGGACATTTCCAGATGTAAACACGTTTTGATGGATGCATAAACATATTCCTAGCTTCATATACCAAAATGATACATGAATATAAATAGGATAATCATATTCAGTAAATCATAACTTTTTCCAACAATACCTTGCAAGACTTGTCAAAAATCCCTCTACTAGTGTTCTTCCTGAAGCCATGTGCAAGAAGGATGAAACAATAGATGCATTCCTTGCACGTTAGATGTGCCCTGGCATTTTACATACAAAGAACCAAGATATTTTTCAGAATAATGCAGCTGTATATAGCAATAGCAGAAAGGATGAAAGGTCTTCGCATCTATGCCAAGAGAATCTCATTCTGGATTATATCATGCATTCATGCATGTTACGAGCTATCTTTTGTTCCACCTCCCGCTTATCTGACCTCTCACTCCATAAGATCACTAGCCTCCGAGGCCACTTTCCTAGCAGGACAGCAACCTCCTCGTCAGTGCATACGTTCTCAACATAGTATGCCATCACCTATCATTATTTCCGACCTGTTAACTAGAGCTTCACAATCTTTGTCACCTTGTTCTTGAATTCCAAGTATTATAAATATCTCCAAAATTTTTAAATGTAGCATCAAGGTTAAATCCAAACACGTTAAGTTAAAGAAACCAGTGAGCCAACAGGCTCTCCATGCCCCTGGGCAAGGTAGGGGAGAGGTGGGCCTGGTCTCTTGGAAGGGGTGGGGTCTCTTCCTTTCTACACCTCCATCCTCCAGTCCCCAGGCCTTTATAGAAATAAAATGGTTAAGGCACCAAACAGCCTTGACGCCACCCAGTGGTAACACGAAGAAAAAATTGATTGGAGAAATTAGTGTCTCTTAAATTGGTTTTATCTACTGCTTGAATCACCTACATTGGACTTCGCTCTCGTGGCTTCTCTCTGGGGCCAGCCAGGTGACTGCAGGGAGGGGACTGTGAACTGGTTGCCCAGGGTATGGCATGGGACACCCCTCCCTTTCAATTTGATCCAAAACAATCTCATTTCACACACATCCCATTATCCTCATGTCCCTCACCTGGGGCAAGTCCAGGTTTGTCTGTCCCCTGCTCCTTCCCCAGACAGAATGAGGAATGAAGCAAACTGCACTTTCCCCCTCACTTCCTGGCACAAGAGACCAGCCAGCAGTGTTCCTGTACAAATGAGGGAAAAGAGAGGTGGAGCTTAGGGCTGGGGCAGTTCTGGGGATTTCACCTACCTGGTGATTTTTCTCTTATCTGTATGGTTGGCTGTGTGTCCCTGTACATGGGAGCAGGCAGGGGCTGGGGGTTAATAAGTCCCCTTCCTCTCCTGCATAACCAAACCCTTAACTTGTTTTAAATAAAAGGAAGCTGCATACTGAATCTGGTGGTCTTAGCAGACAGTCTCACTTGCTCACAAACAAACTCTCTCAAATATATAGTTGATAATTATAAGATGCATTTTTCCCCCATAACTGCTATTGTGTACTTCCAGAATAAATTTTGTCCTAGTTTTTGCCTGGTAATGTGTTCTCTACTCAATATTTTTCTTCACAACTTTCACTTTTTATTCTATTTTTATTTCATTCTAGATTATCTGTAATTTCTGCAGATAAATGCTGCTACTCTTTTAACCCATATTAAAAATGAGAAAACAGTTTTTTAAAATAATGAATAAACCAGTATTAGCATTTTTAACAAACCTTGCTCTCTCCATCCATCCCCACAAAGGCTATCACTCCACACAATTCTCACCTGTGGAAAAGACCTTAGAAAATATACACCTGGTGTTATGTCCTGATGGTCTACTGAATGCTCCTACTTTCATTTAAAGATTTGTTTATTTTTAAAAAAAATTCCTTTAATCAGCCATATCTAGTTCTGAAATCATAGAATACTAGTACTCGAAGGGACCTCGAGAGGTCATCTAGTCCAGTCCCCTGCCCTCATGGCAGGACCCAGTACTATCAAGACCATCCCTGATAGATATTTATCTAACCTACCCTTAAATATCTCCAGAGGTGAAGAATTCCACAACCTCCCTAGGCAATTTATTCCAGTGTTGAACCACCCTGATAGAAACTTTTTCCTAATGTCTAACCTAAACCTCCCTTGCTGCAGTTTAAGCCTATTGCTTCTTGTTCTATCCTCAGAGGCCAAGATGAAGAAGTTTTCTCCCTCCTCCTTATGACACCCTTTTAGATACCTGAAAACCGCTATCATGTCCCCTTTCAATTTTCTCTTTTCCAAACTAAACAAGCCCAGTTCTTTCAGTCTCTAGACCTTTAATCATTCTTCTGGCTCTTCTCTGGACCTTTTCCAATTTCTCCACATTTTTCTTGAAATGTGGAGCCCAGAACTGGACACAGTACTCCAACTGAGGCCTAACTAGCGCAGAGTAGAGCGCAAGAATGACTTCTTGCGTCTTGCTCACAACACACCTGTTAATGCATCCTAGAATCATGTTGGCTTTTTTTGCCACAGTGTTGACTCATATTTAGCTTGTGGTCTACTATAATCCCTAGATCCCTTTCTGCCGTACTGCTTCCCAGACAGTAGATTCTGTATGTGTGAAACTGATTGTTCCTTCCTAAGTGGAGCACTTTGCATTTGTCTTTATTAAACTTCATCCTGTTTACCTCAGACCATTTCTCCAATTTGTCCAGGTCATTTTGAATTATGACCCTATCCTGCAGATTAGTCGCAACCCCTCCCAGTTTGGTATCATCTGTACACTTAATAAGTGTACTTTCTATACTAATATCTAAATCGTTGATGAAGATATTGAACAGAACAGGTCCCAAAACTGACCCCTGAGGAACCCCACTTATTATACCTTTCCAGCAGAATTGTGAACTGTTAATAACTACTCTCTGAGAATGGTTAGCCAGCCAGTTATGTACCCACCTTATAGTAGCCCCATCTAAGTTGTATTTGCCTAGTTTATTGATAAGAATATCATGCGAGATCATATCAAATGCCTTACTAAAGTCTAGGTATACCACATCCACCACCTCTCCCCTATCCACAAGACTCGTTGTCCTATCAAAGAAAGCTATCAGTTTGGTTTGACATGATTTGTTGTTTACAAATCCATGCTGGCTGTTCCCTATCACTTTATTATCTTCCAAGTGTTTGCAGACGATTTCCTTAATTACTTACTCCATTATCTTTCCTGGCACAGAAGTTAAACTGACTGGTCTTTATCATAACTTTGTTAAAACGATTGACAGCAGAACCAAATTCAGACTGATGAGTTAATATACACTGGAAATTTTCATTGTCATTTTATCATACTGCAATTTAGCTACTTAAACGGTAACTTTTAACATAGTATTTTACCGTTGCCTTTTTTTCCCCCCAGGTACTTACTACAGCCAAGAGAAAATGGAAATAAATCTTCTAAAAATGAAGATCTGGGATCACTTAGACTAAATGTTTGTTATACTGAAGACTATGTACTTCCATCTGAGTACTATACTTCTTTAAGAAATTTGCTGCTAAAATCACCAGATGTTCAGGTACTTCTTTTTATTTTAGAAGAAACAGTCAACCGATTTAGGGCCAGGTTATAACCTTCTGTAAGTGCTGCTTTATGGAAGTAAGGAGGCATGTAACTGTTCCTTTCCATAATCTGCCTGTGCCATAATGGTGTAAACTGTCTTTGGAGGCAATGATCCTGCACTTCTTGTGTGGGTAGACCCATAACTCCCCACCTGTCCCTATCCTTAGCGTTGGCCAGTACAATGAATCTGGATGGAGAGTGAAGTACAGGCAGTCCCCGGGTTACGTACAAGATAGGGACTGTAGGTTTGTTCTTAAGTTGAATCTGTATGTAAGTCGGAACTGGCGTCCAGATTCAGCCGCTGCTGAAACTGATCAGCTTCAACAGTGGCTGAATCTGGGCGCCAGTTCTGACTTACATACAAATTCAACTTAAGAACCCCAGGCATCCCCAAGTCAGCTGCTGCTGAAACTGATCAGCGGCTGATTCCAGGAAGCCCGGGGCAGGGGCTTCCTGT